AGAATTCATCAAAATATAAGTCCTGATATATAAAAATTTTTTGTTGATTATTCATCTTCTTTAAATAAACAACAAGAATGTTATATTATACATTAATATGTTCAGGACAAGCAAATATAGCCATAGCTATTTAAAAATATTTTGAAACATATTAAAACTTAAATGTTACAGCATCAATAGTCTATAATATACTGTATTAAAAAATAGGTTAAAATAAATTGCCAAAAAGAAAAAACCTCTTCTTAAATCATATCATAAAAAACAAAGATTGTATTTTGCAAAAAAACTACAAGACTGGATGATTAAATATTGGAGGATAATTTTTTTTTTTTTTGATGAAATTAAAATCAATATTTTTGATCAGATGGTTGAAAGTGAGCTGGAAAAAAACAAATTCATTACTTAAAAAAAATCATGTGATACCATTTGTAAAATATGGCAGAGGATCATTAATGGTTTGGGGATGTATAACAGCAAAAGGAATAGGAAACTTAATTTGCATAATAACTACTATGGATAATGAATTATATTCTAATATTTTAGACAAATATTTTTTAGGTACAATAGAATTGTATAAATTATATTCTAAAAATATTATTTTTCAGCATAACAATGACTCAAAGCATTCAGCCAAAAAAACTCAAAATTGGTTAGAATATAATGAAATTAGAGTATTATATTTACCTTTGCAATCACTAGATTTGAATCCTATGAAGCATCTATGTAGTTATTTTAAAAGAAATCTTTTGAATTACACAAATGTACCTAATGGTATAAACAATCTATTAAAATGAAATGAACAGAAATGGGATAAAATTTCTACAGAGAAATGTATAGACTTATTGACAATATGCCATGAAGAATTACAGCTGTAATTAAAGCAAAGGTGGTATACAAATCATTCCATTTATAAATTAAATTTATCTAAAAAATGTGCTGATGAACATAATAATTTTATTGCTTAATTTCTAGTAATGTAATTAATTAACAATATTAAATATAATACCCTTTAAAGATATAATCATAATCTTTTAATAGTTACATTTTTGGTTTTTTTAAATGAATCGCTCAAAAAATATATCCTATAAACAAAAAAGTTTTAATTATTGGGACAATTTTTGAGTCGTATATTTAGTTTTTTGTTAGAAGAATGGTTTCAAATAGATGACACAATTTATTGTAATTTAGTAGAAAGTATTCCTCGATGTATTGAGGCCGTTAAAATTTCAATGGCAATGCTACAAAATATTATTAATACAAATAAATAAATAGAATGTTTAGATTTTGAATAAATATTATTTTTAATATAAAATTATAAACGTTCTTTGAAAAGCGCAAAAAGAGTTTTCTTATATTTTTCGATTATTTCTAAATCTAATCAACATCCGGTGATTTCTGGCAGGGGGTATACATTGTCAGTTGTTTGCAATTATCAGCTGGTATAAAGAATGCGTTGAATGAGTTTTCGAATTTCTCGCTTCTCAGTGGAATTTGCAACGTTAATTGATTAATTAAGAATGAATTGGGGTTTAAAAGGATAACCAGATTGGCAATGTCGGTCTGATATATTGGAGTTAAAAATATAAATAAAAGGTATTGGAATATGAGTTAGCCGAGGTAATTGATGCAAATATGACGGTTACGGTTAGTGGCTATTGTTTTTTTTTAATCTAAAATTTTTTATAATAAACATTTTATATGTTGAGATATATGTTTTAAGTTTTGATTACATTGTCATCGCCGAAGATTTTTCTATTACCCTTTGTCTCTGACAAAAGCATGGAGAGTTCCCGATCTATTTCGCCAAGTGCGCTGGACCCGGTAACTATATTAGATTCGGCGCTTCAATACGGAGGAGTATTACATGTTTGATACAAACAGGGCTGAGTTGGGCGGGCGCAAATCGCGACTCTTCTTTCACTAAACATACGAAAACATCTAGCCATGGACTACTTACTGGACTCGTTGGACTTTGTTGCTAAATACGGTCGGGACTTTCGAGAAGCAACTGGCAAGGAGATCAGAGCAGCATACGAAGACTATAGAGATTTCTACGTCAAATATCATCGAGACCACCCAGGAGCAACTACGGGTTGTTACGCGGAATATACCGAAACACTCGTTAAACAAGGTAAGTAACACACGTTATTGGGAGATAGAAGAGCAACGGGGAGAAGAGTTTGAATACTGTTACTAGTTTGCAAGAGAGGAGGAGGTAGTTGGGCGTTATTAGTTGGGGCAGAGCTGCGTCGTAGAGACATTGCGGGGTTCGTAGCAATAATGGAGAAAGTAGTTGGAATGAACTACGACATGCGTTGGAGTTGGGACATAGAGCAGAGTC